ACAAATCTATAATTTAATTAATTTTTATAACTTTACTAAGCTACTTGTTTCCGGTTAAAAAATCATTTAAAGTGAATGTTAACTTGAGCTTGATGAGTACCTATTAGCTACACTTATTTTTCTTATTTCCTATATAGTTTAATTACATTTTGTCACGAATTCTAGCTAATTATTTTGGGCATCCCCCAGGCCACCCTCATCTCCATTGGAAGAGCGGTAGTTAGAACTTGTTCTATATTGTCTTATTCCATTGGGTTGACGTAATCTTCCTGATATAATATTGATGATTTATGGAGAGAGAAATAATAATAAAATCAAATTAATATCATACTCCGTATGATTTGAGGTTTTCCTTACCTGGCTTGGATGACTACTTTTTGTCGGTATAAAATAATAAAATCAAAGTAAAACTTACCTACTTTGGAAGAATGACTAGGGATCGAGTCTCACCAGTGGCAGTGTAAGAGCAACCTCTCAAAGTGAGGGGGATTTCTTGTGCACAGTGAGCACCGGTCTAGCCTCTGTGGTTCATGTTCAGTTGAGTCACCATGATTTATATCCTCCCAAATGCTCTATCAAGCCGAGGTGTGAGGGGCCCTTAAGGTTGGGGTTTAGCAGTAGAATAAAATCAAAGTAAAACTTACATACCACGTACTATATATATATATATATATATATATATATATATATATATATATATATATATATATATATATATTATTCCTTATATTACACTTACCCTGAGTATATTTGGTTCAAACAATATTTTTTTAAAATATTATAATATTTTTCTAACCTCACGTAACTTCTTCTTTTTTTTTTTTTTTTTTTTTTTTAAAGGATGAAATATATAGATTCTTTGGACTGAGAATGTTTAAGAAAGTATACAACAAATATTACTTTATAAAGAATCATCAATATTTCAAAAAAAAAATATTCTTATAAATTAAAAATCAAATTTACAATTTTAATTTTAAGACTTCATCCTTAGGAATTGCAATTCTACACTTTGTGGAATTATAATTCCATGTTGAATTACCACTTTATCTTTCTTATGATTATTATATTATTATTATACAAGGACAATTTAATTTTTTTTCACTTTCAATTCCCAACCATTCTATTCATTTATACCAAACAATGTAATTTAAATTCTCACTTTATTCTTTTTTCCATTGAATTACATTTCATTTCTCTCTAATTCGCTCATGCCAACCAAATGCCCGTTAGTACATTTGGTTCATACAATATTTTTTTTAATATTATAATATTTTTCTAATCTCACGTAACTTTTTTTTTCCCCCTTAAAGATGGAATATATAAATTCTTTGGATTGAGAATGTTTGAGAAAGTATAAAATAAATATTATCTTACAAAGAATCATCATTATTTCAAAAAAAAAAAAAAAAAGAAGAAAGAATATTCTTATAAATTAAAAATCAAGTTTATAATTTGTAAGACTTCACATTTGCTTCGAATTCCAATCCCTTAAATTAAACTAAATAAGGACATATACCATGTTTACATTATTATATTACTCTTTTTTTTTTTTTTTTAGTACTATTGATCACGTGTATTGGGTTCAAATCCATAACTTCTCATTTAAGAGAGTCAGATCATGTCACTTAGCCATTATTATTATATTATTACTTATGTGATATAACTTGAACCACATACTCTCTATATAAACATTTAGAAATTTTTATTTATTATTAATAAAATTCAAAGGTCCATTTTGATCCTTATCTTTAAATTAAAAATAGTCATGTATATGCCAGATGGGTGGTAGTTAGTTTGTTTTGTTGACGAGTTAGTATATTTGGGTCGATTGGAATGAAATGGTAGGCAACTAGGCATTTTGTACGTTCGCCAAATCATGACTAATAAAAAAGTAAAAAACAATGCAAATGTTTGTTGCACAGCCAACTGTTCCTGATTGCGTGGGAAATGTGTGTTTGAAAATTAATTTTATTCCATGCTCCATTATTATTATTATTTTTTTTGAGTCAGAACACGAGGTGTCCCGAGCATGCACTAATTGTAGGAGTCACATTTATGTTCGTAATATACTCAGATTAATTCATGTTCACACCGAGCCGACCCAATAAAGAGACAAAGTGTTAACCATATTAGTTTTCCATACAAGAGGAGGTTCAAATTCCTGACCACTGTCTCCATTCTAATTTGTCATTTAGCTACCTAATGCATTAATACATGCATTCGTGTCTAATAAATAATAGTAAATATAGTATTCATTTATTCCGTATGGCATTATTATTATTATTTTTTTAAGTAACAACAATAATCTATTGGCTTAAGTGGTTAGTAGTGACATCGTACTCTTTAACTTTTGTCAAGAACTAATGTCTCATTGTGGCATTTTTTAAAAAGTTTATTTAAGGTCTTTATATCATATTATTTGTTTAATTTATGACCAATGTATTTAAATTTGCTCAATTATATTTAATTCACATACTTCAAAGGCGAATTAAAAAAATTAAAAATGAAAGTTAACATAGTAAAATAAGACAAATGAATCTATATATGATCCTCTGAAGTGTAATATTGTAATAGTTCTACCTATAGTCCTCAACTACCAAAAAGATATCTTCATATTCTTTGGGAAATCTTTTTTTTTTTTTTTTTTTTTTTTTTTTGCAAATTAACTTTGGTGCTCCATTACATTTCCAGTTAACTTGGAGCATGGACAAAAAAGTAATTTTCAATTTTGTCACAAATTGTTTTTGGTAATGTTTATTTTAATTTCTTCATGCCAATGACCTTGTGGTCTAATAGCATGAAGTGACTATCCAAATGAGATGTCATGAGTTTGAGCCTTAGTCAGAACGGTATTGACTCTTTGTGCTTCAATAGGTTGAGAAAGTTGTAACAAAGTCAATAGTATTAAAAAAAATTAATTTTTTTCGTATTCCTCCGCCCATAATTCCTTTGATGGTGTTCTCCTATTTTGTAGTCCAGTCAATTATGAAACAACATCGTTTTGGTTACACATTAAGTTTTTAGCAACGACATCGTTTTGGTTACATCATTAAGTTTTTAGCTAAAGCTAAACATTCTATATATCAAGCCATCGATGTCGATTTGCTTTCTTGGACTAATGCTATTTTGAAATTATTGTTGTAGGAACATGCTCACAACTAGACATGTTATATATCTTATTTTGTTGTTTTCATTGTCATGTTGTTTTAGACAATGTATTTTGAGTTTTATGTTTTTTATGAATGCAAAATCTTTCTTTAAAATCCAACCTATTTCTTCCTCAATTCCTTGTCCCTCCAATTCTTCTATAATTTTCTATTATTGAGTTTGAATTATTAATTTACAATTTCTCAACTTCATTACAAATTGGGAATTGGTATCATAATCTTTTTTTTTTTTTTTTTTCTTTTTAATCTCAAACCTTTAAATCTAACCATGGTAAATACATGGGAGCTTGAAAATTAGGTGCAATCTCTGAAAGGAAGAGTGAATAATCTTTCAAAAGATAATGTTAAACAATGAATACAAACATGTCTAACCTCAGCCTGAGTCCACTTACCAGCCTCAATTGCATATATACATACCAATTGTCAGATCAAGCGCTTATTACTATGCCAAAAGTTATAACTAATAGCGAATACACAACTTTATTTTCTTATAATAATTGTATAATAACAATTAATATCACGTTTCAATGACAAGATGCTAGACTCAATTCACTATTAAATCTTGTGTTCCTACCCTCCTGCATTCCAAATTCTCTACTTTTGTGGTAAGAATTATAAAAGCAATTTCATTATAAATACGATTTAAGTAAATAAAAATAATAAAATTACAACAATGCAGAAAACTTCCCACGACCCTATCCCAATAACTTCCACGTTCCTCATCAAAACCTCTCTCCTTCTTATATTATTCCCAGGCCATATATAGCTTTTGCTGCTGAAAACTATAATATTAATCTTCACTTGATAATAATAAAAAGCAGCAATTAAGAAGGCAATCAAACATCATGTGTTCTAATTTCTTGCTGTTTTATTGCTCTCTCGTTGTCCTTCTAGCCGTCACCACTCCGACAACCGCCGCTGAGGAATTCCAGGTCGGTGGCGCTGTGGGCTGGCGCCGCCCGGACCTTAACCACACTCAAATCTACGATCAGTGGGCTTCCCACCGGATATTTCACGTCGGAGATTCATTACGTAAGTTCGTCTATATTTTCCGGCCATGCATGCATGCAACCTTTCTTTGCACTCTCCCTATAAACTTAGCATTCTTTTAGATGGCTCTGATACCAAATCGAATCATATGTTTTGTTTCAATTAAAAGTCTAAACTGATAGAAAATGGTTCTGAAACTAAATTGAAACATGTGTTCCATCTAAAAAAGATTAAACTGATAATTGGATCGCACATTTATGTTTATATGCTCGATCAACATTCATTGTCTTTTATTTCCTACATACGTTGTTGAGTTATGTGTTAGGTTTCGAGTACAAGAATGATACAGTGGTGGAGGTGGACAAATGGGCGTACTACCACTGCGACACAAGCCACCCAATCTCCGCCGTCTCCAGCGACGGCAACACCACCGTAAATCTGGACAAAGCCGGCCCTTTCTTCTTCGTCAGCGGCGATTACGAGCATTGCAAGGATGGGCAGCGTTTACACCTGGACGTTTTCCCGTTGCATGATCAAGATGCCATTCCAACGCCGCCGCAGCATTCAAACTCCGATGATCCAACTCCATTTATTCCGATCAAATTCTTCTCGCTACTGTTATTGGCTTTCAACGCTGCTTTCCTCCAGTAGTAGACTCCTTGGGATCGAGATGCTTTACATTACACTATTGCTGTTTTCTCTACCTTGATTGTTAAGGATATATATATGGTTTTAATTGTTTTGCTTATTCATCTATCCTAAATATATATTATGGTGATACTTTATTTTCTTGAGTGTACGTATTTGTTATTAATGAGTCCAAAGTTGAAACAAACATTCTGAGAAAATTAGATGTTAACATAAAATTGACAGAAGCGTTATGATAGTGAGATTACATATATAGAATTGCCAAATTGATTGGACATACATATAACGTCACACTAAGTAAATTATATCAAAATGGAGCAGTAAGGGGTTCTTTAACCTTAGACTGGTCGACATCTGGGGATTCCAAAATTTCCGTACTGCACAAACATTGCCCGATTGTCTTCTCAGTAACAACGTCGGCGGCACTGTCTTCTTGCTTCTTGTTGTCTACTCCGTTGGTTTCCGGCACAACCAATACAGTCTCCGTCGGTTTTAGCCCCTATCAGTTTAGCTTAGTGGTCTGTTACACTTTTGGAACAAAAACTAAAGGAAAAAAAAAAAAGAGAATTATATTATATATATGTAATATATAAACCTGAATAAAGATAGTGGAAGCTTGTTGGGGTTGGTTGTTCTGAACAATGTCGACGGCAACTTCTCGAGCGAGGTGGAGCTGACCTTGGTTTAAGGTTCTGGGTTCGGTCTCAATGGAGCAGCAAAAGTTGGCCATTTTGGGATCGGAATTAACGTACGGCTGAAGATCGAACTGGGAATTGAAGGGCAGAAGGAAATAATAATAATAATAATGCATGAGAAGATGTGGCCAAGAAACGAGGAACAGAAAGCGAAAACAAAGTTAGTTTGTGGTGCATTGGCATCCCGTGAAGCTAAACTCATCGTCACGGGGCCGTTCTACGTAGGTTGGATCTCATCTGTTGCCTATTGGTCGTTGAATTGAGGCCAGTAAAGCTGTTGGGGTCTTTAAAATGATGTGTCTGCAATTAATATATTATTATATGTGTTTTTGGTTACTATATTATGTGTCGATAATTAATTGAAGATATATAATATGCTAACTATGTACACACAGTGCACATAACGGTAACTACAAAAACGTAATTAATATATTAAGAGGCAGGGACGGAGTCAGAATATTATTTGAGTGGGGGCGGAGTTTTAATGATGATAGAAATGCCAATTACAAAGTATCAAACAATACGTCATAATAAGGTTAAAATACACAATACATTATAAATTACAATAGAATGTTTTTGATAGATTACACGATAGTTAGAGCCAGAGCCAAAAATATACTTGAGTGAGGTGCAAATATGAAATATTTATGACAAAATATTAAGCATAACCAATTAGATAAAATAATTTGAATAACACTATATTCATAAATACTTTTTAATTTTAATTTTTTTTTGTTAAATCAACTTTAAGTTTTTCTAAATAATTCAAATACAATAAAGTATAATATAAGCTTGTATACTACATTAATTAAATGAAAATATAAGGGAAGTTGTTAATGAGATTTGAACTTATATGACCATATATGTACTTTTTAATAACAAATTTAGAATCAACCAACTAAACTACTCAAACTATTCATATTTAGAACATAGATTTTATATATCATTTAATACTATATATGTATATACATACATCTACATCTATCTACATCTACAAATTTAATAAGAGCGAATAATGTTAGGCCCTTAACTGGAACAAAAAAAATGTCGGTACTAATTGTTTCTTAAAATGAATGTTCATATTATTTTGATTTTAGTATCTTTTAATGATTTTCCTTATTTACCCTCTATTATATTATTTTCTTCCCTTAAATAACCCTAAATTCCGTTAGTTTAAACTTTAGTAACGAATATTCCGTTAACTATTTATTATTCTTAACATACTCTTAATTTATATAAGGTCTTAGGTTCGAACCTCATCCCAAGTATAGTTGGCATAATTGTTAAACATATATTATGAATATGTTAAAATGTATTAAAAAATATATATATAATATAAAATTTAACATAAACTTTGGTCAAATAATTAGATCGACTAAATACATAGCATTCAACCAGGACTATGTGGTCCAATGGTATCCGGGTTGGATTTCCATTTGGAAGGTTATGAGTTCGAGCCTCAGTGGAGGCGTTATTAGCTCTTTGTGTTTTGTGTTTCAGTAGGTTGAGAAAGTATATGAACAGATACTACAATGTAATAGAGCTAGTAGCATTCAAAAAAAAAAATAAAATACATAGCATTCAAAGTTGAGTATCAAAGATTATAAATCAGTAACTACTTTAAAATTATTTGATTTGCTTGAATTTTTATTTAAAAAAAAAAAAGAAATTTAGGGTTTTTTTTTTTTTTTTTTTTTTTTTTTTTTTTTTTTTTTGTTTACTTAACATTCTTCTGATTATTTAGAACAAAACTTAATATTTCAATTATGCTTTTGCATTATTAGAATGATTTAGGTTATTATGGTATTAATATTTTTTGTATTTTTTTATAATGGTACAATTGTACATTACTTGACAAACATTATACTATTATTTTTTATCAGACAAAATTATTCTTACATCATTGTCAGACCTGCACGGCCTTTAGTAACGGAATATTCCGTTAACTATTTATTATTCTTAATATACTCTTAATTTATATAAGGTCTTAGGTTCGAACCTCATCCCAAGTATAGTCGGCATAATTGTTAAATATATATTATGAATATGTTAAAATGTATTAAAAAATATATATATATATATATATATATATATATATATATATATATATATATATATATATATATATATATATATATATATAATATAAAATTTAACATAAACTTTGGTCAAATAATTAGATCGACTAAATACATAGCATTCAAAGTTGAGTATCAAAGATTATAAATCAGGAACTACTTTAAAATTATTTGATTTGCTTGAATTTTTATTTAAAAAAAAAAAAAGAAATTTAGGTTTTTTTTTTTTTTTTTTTTTTTTTTTTGGTTTACTTAACATTCTTCTGATTATTTAGAACAAAACTTAATATTTCAATTATGCTTTTGCATTATTGGAATGATTTAGGTCATTATGGTATTAATATTTTTTGTATTTTTTTATAATGGTACAATTGTACATTACTTGACAAACATTATACTATTATTTTTTTATCAGACAGAATTGTTCTTACATCATTGTCAGACTTGCACGGCCAACTACAAAGTTGTTGATCATAAATACAATTACACATGGACTCTAAAACGGTAGGATCATTTTTCAAATAATTGACAATGTTAACATCCTACTAGCTCCAATTGAACAAGTTTACACATCAAAATTTTATCAATGCATGAAAACTTGTAAAGAAATTTGTAACTTAATTTTTACTATATCATTATATTAATATCTATTGTAACCATATATTTTGAATTATTTACTATCATCCTCTATTGACAGCAATTGTAGCAATTGTCATGGACAAACTCTCAAAACAATTTGTCTAAACAAGGAATGGAAATTAAAAAAAAAATCATTGATTCCATTATTGTTGAAGAAAAGTATGTACGACACTTTATTACTCTTATTAATTAAATAAATTAGTAGCTACAACAAAAAATAATACATATGCATTTAATTAATTTAGAATTAGATGTCTATAATGCTTTATTTATTAAAAAAAATTATTCATTATAAAAAAACTTTAAAAAAATATAATTTCATTAGTTATATTATATTTATTTTCTACAATTCAAAGATTCCTTATTTTCAAATTTATTAATTTATTATATTCACTACATTGTTCATTGTTTTATATTTTACATTATCTTGTAATTAAATATCAAAGTTATAATACAAAACATGTTATAAATAAATAAATATATATATATATATATATATATATAGATTTACATTCAAGTAAAAACACATCTTAAAATACAAACCTGTGGACAATTTGACGCCGTTGGATGGTGGTATTGGACGGTCCTGATTTTTTCCTCCTACGCGCTGTGTGCATGTAAGTATGTTAATGTGTGCACGAGCTTTGATGGATGGTTGTGATTTTTCTTCCTACGCGTTGTGTGCATGTAAGTATGATAATGTGTGCACGTGCTAATCCCAGAAATTATTGGCAGTGCGCCTTGTGTGCATGTAAGTATGTTAATGTGTGCACGAGCTCAAGTTTGTATTTTAAGGAGTGTTTGTATTTTAAGGGAGTTTGTATTTGAATGCAACCCTATATATATATATATATATATATATATATATATATATATATATATATATATATACTTATTTATTTATTTATTTACCAAGTATTTTATACAAATATAATAAATATTAATATTTTGTTCAATACTTTCACATGATAACTTACGACACACATCTCACAACACATGAAACATCTAGGGAAAAAACTACCACTACTAAATATCAATAGGTGTTTGTACACTAAAGAGTTCATATTACAAATCTAAAGCTTCCTACACCATAATCTCATTGCATGATGAATCCCTCTATGCTGCTACCACTTACCAGTAACCTAATTGCACATGACACACTACCAATAAAAAAAAGAACATGTATTGAAGATGAAAACAATAACAATGCTACCCAAGAGAGAATTAAGAAGAATTAGAAAAATTTAAACCAAAAGTAGTATTTATTTAGACTATCGTTTTAAGACTAAGTATTTAAACTAGCGTTATTACAAAGTTGCAAACATTTATTTTAGTGATAATTATAATCAATCTTTCATATATTACCTTGCATTTATATACTTTAAATTACCGATTTAAATAAACAAATTCAACATTTATTTAGCTATGCACGAACATCTTCTATATAATATTGCATTGATATACTTTGAAATATTTATTTAAAAATAATTATTGGACATTATCTCATAAAAAAACTACTACATATATATAAAGGGGTGGGGTGGAGGGAATGGGGACAACTGCCCCCACTTACCCCATAGTAACTCCGTCCATGTTAAAAATATATTATATATCTATAATTAACATATTATGTACCTTTAATTTATTTACAGATCACATAATTTATTAATTACAATCTTCATTGAATGCTTGAATGAACTGTGGAATTAAGTAGGCTTCGTTAGTATTGTCTGGCCCAATTTCAATCTCCATGAACTACTTCAATGCATGGCATATATAATGGTACTAGTTTTATATACGCATTGTGTGGTTGTTATAGTGTGGACCATGGTTCACGGAGCTTCGTAGACTATGGTTCAAACACGACGTTATTTTTCTAAGTAAAAAAATGATAGTCGTTACTTTTTAACAGATTTCATATTTTTTGTGTGTTTATAACAAAGTGAAATTATAGTGTATCTAAAATAAAATTGTCTTGCATATTGTGTTTATATTATCAAATGAAACCGTAATTGGATTGAAATGATATTTTAGTTGTATTAAAATGAAAATTCATTATGTATAAAATGAAACAGAATAACATTGTTCACATATTGAATGTATATTGTCAAATAGAACTGTAGTTGAATAGAAATGATATTTTAATTTTGCTGAAATAGAACTACAATATGTATAAAAAGAAACTGAATAATATGTCTCACATATTGAGTGTATATTATTAGATGAAACTTTAGTGATATCGAAATGATATTGTAGTTGTGTTGTAATGAAACACTGCTGGAAATCATCAGATTTCCGACCACCCAAAAGTGGTCGGAAACAGCCTAAATTGGGTCGGAAACCGTGTTTCCGACCACTTTTCCGACCAAAATGGGGATCCGGAAAAAGGCCCGTCGCTAATTCCGACCACAATAGAGAGTGGTCGGAAACAACGAGCACATTTTTTTAATCGTCGGAAACAAACGACGGGTTTGATACTTGGACGGATCCATATTTCCGACCACCATGTGGTCGGAAATTCCACGATCGGGCGGTCGGAAATTTGGAACCAAGATTTCGTTCGTTCCAGATTTCCGACCCATGGTGGTCGGAAACTAATAAATAAATAAATAAATAAATAAATAAATAAATATATATATATATATATATATATATATATATATATATATATATATATATATATATATATATATATATATTTTTTTTTTTTTTGTAATTTACAATTTCTATTGCTACTTTTCCTACAAATTATACACTGCTTTACCAATTTTAAAACTAGTAATTTCATAACACAAATATTATACATTTCAATATCAAATTTAATTATACATAATGTTGTAATTCTAATATCCACCATCATTCAAAATGTGCTAATACAATCAAAATATTTCCTAAATCACAAAAAAGTTAGAAGCTTGGATCTATTGCTGAAGATCATCTAACCCATCACAAAAAAAAAAAGTTAGAATCTTGGATCTATTGCTCAAGATCATCTAACCCATCACCAAAAAAAAAAAGTTAGAATGTTGGATCTATTGCTCAAGATCATCTAATCCAACACCACTATTTTCATGGCTAACGGCGGGATTAGTAGACTGAAAAGAAGGTTGATTTGCACCACGAATTGCAGCAAATTCCGCTTCTAACCATGCCATTTTTTCCTTCATTTGCTTGTTCTCTTCTTTTAGTTCCTTGATTTGATCCTCATAAACTGCATGTGCCAATGATTGTCCGGATTTTGAATTCTTTTGCGTCACAGCCTCAGGGAAGTAGCGCGGTGTATCTGATCCAAATCCATAAACAGATCCTCTTTTCTTGAGGCCACCGGCTGCCAAGAACCATGCATTTGACTCTCCAAGCTCAGGTTGAGTTTGTTATTTTTGAATTGCAGCCTCCTATATTTAACAATTTTTACCAAACACAATCATTTTATCATCTCAAAATCTAATAAATGTTATGACAATCATGTATTAATTACAATGAAAATGATATTTTGAGTTCTGGTTTGTGAAACCAGAACTCAAATAATTTTTTGAGTTCTGGTTTCACAAACCAGCACTCAAAATGATGTTTTGAGTTCTGGTATGTGAAACCAGAACTCAAAATAATTTTTTTGAGTTCTGGTTTCACAAACCAGAACTCAATATGATGTTTTGAGTTCTGGTATGTGAAACCAGAACTCAAAATAATTTTTTTGAGTTCTGGTTTCACAAACCAGAACTCAAAATGATGTTTCTGCTCTAATATAATCTGCATGTTCCATCCTCTAACATGTCTAAACTAAGCATACTTTTAATTAGTTCTCAAGTCCGTATAGTTTCTGCTCTAATATAATCTGCATTCTAAATATCAGGATATGAGGTATTCTTACTACTATATTTGGATGTTGGCACAAGTATATTATGGAATATACTTTTTAAAACAAGTAAAACTGCTTTACTAGGCCTACACTTTTAATTCTAGGAAAAGTTTTAGTATCTTACATTTACATGATCAGCCTTTTTGCAAACAAACTCATTTGTCTTTTTGCGTTTGTGAGTTGCTTGGAACAACACTGCATGAGAGGGCTCTTCTCCAGACTTTTCTTTCTATCCAAGACAATAAACCAAATATTAATGTTGTTGTTTAACTATAAATTGTATTTAAATAGTAGTAAATGACTTACTATTCTTCTCCTATGCTCAGAAATGGAGATTGAACCTGCAGTGTGCAGTGATGGTCCCAATCCCCCGCAATCTGAATTTCTATTTCTTTTGTTCTTCGCAGCAGTCTTCTTAAACTCCTCTGTATTCCAAATGCTGCGGTATTGGGCCAAAACCTGATCATTCATCCAATTTGGTAGTGCATGGCCTCTTGCCAAATTGATGCGAACATGCCCCAACGTGTCAGATAATCTTCTAGCAGCCTTTTTGTGGAATATACTCTGAATTACTGCCTCATCTTCTGGATTCCACTTATACTTTTTCTTTGATAAGATTAAAAAAAATCAAATTATAATTAGTAAATGTATAAAGTAATAGTTATAGCATCTGGAGCATAAAGTAGGTATAAAGTAATTAGTAAAGGTATAAATTATCAAATGTATATATTAGTAGTTCCCTATGGTAATTATAAAGTAATTTACTAATAGCAGTTATAAAATAAGTTACCCTGAATTCATTAAACCATACGTCCTTCATATATGTAGGAGCATCATTGTATGATTTTATAGCATCTGGAAATATTTTAGTTACATAATCGATAACTTTATTCGCACGCCATGGCTCAAACCTATAACAAATTATAAATGTTAGAGATAAATGTTAAACACATTATAATTATTATAGTTATCAATATAAGACTTACAAATTATTCCCAATGGGGCGTACTATGGGCCTGTTGCTTGGTGAAGTTGGAGGTGATGGAACACCATTTGGTAAGGCTGATATAGTTTGCTCCGAATCACTATTTCAGCTGGACTGTGGGAGAGTATTTGATGGTGGACTTTCAGAGTTAGATATTGGTGGTTGGGACATCAACGTTGTACTATTTTGCCTTGCACGTTGAGACATTTTCTGCTTAAAATTCAAAGAAAGTAGTGTAAAATGCCATTTCTAAATTTTGTGTTTGTAAATGATCATTTTGAGTTCTGATTTGTGAAACCAAAACTCAAAATGATCTTTTGAGTTCTGGTTTGTGAAACCAGAACTCAAAATAATTTTTTGAGTTCTGGTTTCACAAACCAGAACTCAAAATGATGTTTTGAGTTCTGGTATGTGAAACCAGAACTCAAAATAATTTTTTGAGTTCTGGTTTCACATATCAGAACTCAAAATGATCTTTTGAGTTCTGATTTGTGAAACCAGAACTCAAAATGATCCTTTGCTCTGCAGACTCTCAAATTATCTACACATCTGCAGTTTTTTTGAGATTACAGATGAGCATCCAGCCTGCAATTTACTTCAGCTCCATTCAACAGCACCTGCAAAGAAAGGCTTCTTTCCTGCACTAAAGTGCAGATCTGCCAACAACATCTGCACAGCATATCAGCTCAAAGCCTCATCTATGCTGCCAGTACCCAAACAAAGTGTAAACACTCAGAGACTGCCCAGAGTAGCAGCCCATCATTGGGTTGGTTACACATAATACATTCTCAAGTCCCCATAAATTATACAACAAAGCACAAACCAGAAATTTAGAACATAATCTATATTCACATAGTTTCTTCCATTAACCTTCAATACAAAACAATTTCATCCAGAAATTTCAATTTTAAAGGAATGAATAGAATGCTTACAGTTTTTTTCCCGTGAAGTTAATCTTGCTTAGTCTACTGCATTGTTTTCCCTAGGAGTGAGGACACATGACAAGTCATTTAGGGATGGTCAAATGGAAGCTTGATAAGCAACAACAACACCAAGAACATGAGGACCTAAATTCGAACAAGAAATAGAATTAAAAATCAGCAATTTAGAACATAATCTATATTCAAAAATTTAGAATAGAAATTTCACAAACCAGAAATTTTGAGTTCTGGTTTCACATAGTTTCTTCCATTAACCTTCAATACAAAACAATTTCATCCAGAAATTTCAATTTTAGAGGAATGAAAAGAATGCTTACAGCTTTTTTTAGGGATGGTCCAATGAAGCTTGATAAGCAGCAACAACATCAAGAACATAAGGACCTAAATTCGAACAAGAAATATAATATTTCAGAATCCATTAAAAAAAACCCTAAATTCGATTAGGGACTGTGTTACTCAAACATTGAATTAGAAAGTACCTGGGGTTTCAGAATACGAGATTAGGGACTGTCGACTGCCATTGTTGTGCTACTGCCGGTGCTGGAGGTGTGAAGGAGGAAGTAGGCGGTGAAGGAGGAAGTGGGCCGTGTGAAGGAGGAAGTACGCGTGAAGTGGGAGAGAGAAGATGGAGAAGTGAAGTGGTGGAGGGAGAGGGAAATCTAAGTAGTGGAGGGAGAGATCAGACTTAATGAAATTTTCCAAAATTTTAGATTTCCGCCATTTTTATTTTTTTTTTGGGCTAATTCTTTTTTTTTTTTTACAATTACTTAAATTTTTCTTAAACACTAATTAAAATTAAAGTAAACATTAAAATAATTTAAATTTCAACTCTAAATTAAAAATCACCCTCATCATTCTCTGATTCCTCATTATCATCTTCATCACCAATATCTCCACTATCATCTTCATCAGAATCATCACTGTCATCTTCTTCAATTTCTTCAGTATCTTCTTCTTCTGAATCTTCAATTTGGACACCTTGGTTGGACCATTGATTTCCGATGTGAGGTAATTCCACTTCATTCATTTGTAATGGTTCGTGCACTAACTCTTGCACGTCATCTTGAATACTTTGATCACCCCCATATGTAGGCAACGATATGTTATCTTGTTGATATGTGTAACTAGAGCTATAGGCACTATCAATAGTTCCTCTTGGGCGTACATTCAAGACTACCCACCAATTTATTTTCTCCCGTATACCCCGTGGGTATGGAATATAACACACCTGACATGCGCTTTGTGCAATGATAAAAGGATCATATTTCCTATATCGTTTATTGCAATGCACCTCAGCGATACCATATTCAGAATTGAATATTGATCCAATATTGGGTGTTGGGTCAAACCACTCACACTTGAAGAGAACAACCTTTTTTATTGGAACATTGGGGTACTCAACCTCAACAACCTCTTGCAATTTGCCAAAAAAATTTGATTCAAATTGTGTTAAACCTGTTCCCTTGATTGACACTCCGTAGTTAGCAGTCGACTTTCTACGGCAATATTCTTCAGTCTGAAACTTAAAACCATTAACGACATACCCAGTGTATGTGTTAACCTCCATTATCGGCCCAGATGCCAAATCAATGAGTGATTGGTTACACACATTGTTCGTTGGACAATATACCTAATAATAAATACAAAGAAAATGTCACATAACAAAAAAATATAGATAATAATGAATCAAAAATGACAAAGTGAATTAACTTCTTACATATTCTTTAAACCAATGTGCAAAATTTCTTTCAACTTCATTGTCTACATCTTCATCAGTACAACCAGGATTGTAACGTCGTAAACCATTTTCATACATCCTAGAATACTGATATTAGATATATATATATATATATATATATATATATATATATATATATATATATATATATATACACACACACACATTTGAAATCAAAATGGGAAAAAGTGGAGTACACATACCTTAAAATCGGTTGAACCTCCTCACAATTCAGTAACACATATTGATGAGCGGTGAAACGTTCTTCTACACTCAAATATCTTGTCTTTCTCCTGCCCATCGACCGACCAGGTCGATTGAATATTGACAAAGTAACTGGCAAGTTCTGATCAATGCCGCCATCATTTAGGTTCCGACCTATCCTTGTTCTTCTACTTTGCACATCATCTTCAAAATAAAATGATGCAAAGTGTGTTGCCTCTTCAAGCATATATGCATCGGCAATTGAACCTTCAACATATCTCTTATTTTTCATTTTGGACTTCAAGTGATTGAGGAAGCGTTCAAATGGATACATCCAACGATATTGTACTGGGCCACCTAAACGTGCTTCATAGGGAAGATGGACAGGCAAGTGTTCCATGCAATCAAACAGTGCTGGAGGGAAAAATCGTTCTAACTTACACAATGTTAAAACAATTGAGTTTTCCATTTCCTGTATTTTGTCTACACGTAGGGATGTAGAGCAAAGATTTCTGAAAAACGCACTTAACTCAGTCAAAGGCTTCCAGTGACAGCTTGGTAAAAACATGAAGGCTACAGGCATAAGAAACTGCATAAAAATATGACAATCATGACTTTTCATCCCTATTAATTTAGAAGATGTGGAATCAACACATGTAGCCAAATTCGAAGAAAACCCATCAGGTAACTTCAAAGTTCGTAACCACTCATAGACAGCTAATTGATTAGTACGATTCAAACTGTAGCTTGCCTTGGGCATAAGATAACGTCCATTCTTTTCCACCAACTCAAGTTCGGGCCTATTACACACGTCCTTCATATCGAGACGTGCATTAGGCGTGTCTTTATTTTTAGCTGTGCCTTTGACATCCATAACTGTGTGAAAAATGTTATCAAACACATTTTTCTCTATATGCATCACATCAAGATTGTGACGTAACAAATTATCCTTCCAATAAGGCAAATCCCAAAATATGCTTTTTTTTTTTCCAGTTGTGTGCTTGTCCAAACCCCTCAATGCGACCAATTGGACCATCAATAATCCTTGGGATATTTTCCAAACTATGAAACAACTCATCTCCTGTCCAAATTGGTTGAGGTCTTGATTTCTCAGCTCGTTGTTTGACGAAGGTATCTCGATTCTTCCTCCAGGAGTGATTCATTGGAAGGAATTGACGATGACAATCAAACCAACATGTTTTATGACCATTCTTCAGATAAAATGATTTAGAATAATGAAGACAATAAGGACATGCTAGTTTTCCGGCTGTCTGTCATCCAGATAACATACCGTATGCAGGAAAGTCATTGATGGTCCACATTAACGCAGCGCGCATCATAAAATTTTGTTTAAGTGATGCATCATAAGTTAAGACACCTGTTTCCCATAACAATTGAAGTTCATCAATTAAAGGCTGAAGATAGACATCAATATTGGTCTTTGGATTCTTCGGTCCAGGAATAATACAGGTTAAGAATGTGTATGGTGTAGTCATACACATTGAAGGTGGGAGATTATACGGAACAACCATAACAGGCCAACAAGAGTACGGCTTTGCATTGAAACCAAAAGGAGTAAATCCATCAGAACATAAGCACAGTCTTACATTTCGGGGATCTACTGAGAAATCAGGGAACCTTCTATCAAAGTGCTTCCATGCTTCACCATCAGAGGGATGACACATAATACCAGGTTCGCGACGATTTTCATAATGCCATCGCATGTGTGAAGCAGAGCTATGTGATGCATACAAACGTTGCAATCGAGGAATGAGAGGAAGGTAATGCATTCTTTTGCGAGGCACCTCTTTTGCACGAGTAGATCCAGATGGGCAAGGTTTAAATCTTGTCTCACCACAAAACTTACAGTGCTTGTCATTTATTTCAGACTTATAGTACAACATACAATTGTTTACACAACAATCAATCTTCTCATGTCCAAGACCAAGCTTTGTAAGTAACTTTTTTGCATCATAATACCTGGTAGGTACTCGATTATCGGGACCCATCAAATGGTTAATATACTGAAATATCTGATCCATTGCTAGCTGTGGTATATTAAAAGTTGTCTTGATATTCATCATCCTCAATGTATATGCCAGCTCTGTTTCTTCATTAACATTCATTGATAAAGGTTGTCTCGCAGCATCTAACAATTCGTAGAAGTTTTTTGCACTACTATGTGGTTCTTCATCTTGGTCATTTTCGACATTTAATGGAAAAAAATGATGGACCAGATGCATCAAAAACCATTTGTTCATATTGGTTATTTTCACTAGGGCCCTCATTCATGTGTGGTTGTATTGAAGGTGGAAGCTCACCGTAACATGTCCAAATCCAATAATTTGGTTCAAAACCCTTCCTATATAAATGAACACGAACATCATCTGCAGACAAGTGTACTCTATTCTTACACTTACTACATGGGCACCTAATCTTCATTGAAGCCTTGTATACAGGAAGTGTGCTTGCATAATTTACAAATTCCTCAACACCCAATAAGAACTCATCTGTGTACCCCCTTTTTCCGGGTAACAATCGATTATACATCCATTTCCGATGTTCAGGTATATTAGCCATGTAAAACAACTGTAAAAACATATATACAGTGCAAACACAAATATAAAAGTATTAAAAATAATACTAATATTTTAAATAATCATATACACTCATACTAATAATTAGACACATATAAAATGTCATTTGTAAAAAGTACAAATATATAAATAATTATAAACATACTCACATATACATATATGCACACTATACATTCTTCAATCATATTAAAATAAATAATCTAAATAAGTATTCACAAAAATATATTTAAAAAATCAAACTAGATCTAAGGAAAAAAAAATCATACTAGTTAATAGACACACATATAAAATGTAATTTTAAAAATGTACAAATATACAAATAATTATAAACATATTCACATAAATACACATATACATATATGCACACTATACATTCTTCAATCATATTAAAATAAATAATTTAAATAAGTATCCACAAAAATATATTTAAAAAATTAAACTAGATCTAAAAAAATTCACACTAGTAAATAGACACACACATATAAAATGTAATTTTTAAAAAGTAAAAATACACAAATAATTATAAACATATTCACATACACACATATACATTCTTCAATCATATTAAAATAAATAATCTAAATAAGTATTCACAAAAATATATTAAAAAAATTGAACTAGATCTAAAAAAAAGTCTTAATAAATAGTAGATTTAAGAATGTAAACACATACCTTAACTTGATATGATGTAGTACAACTTGCTTTTAGCACTATTATGCATGAATTATTGAAAGAAAACCTGCAAAGAAGAAAAAAAGCAGTAGAAGGGGGTAAAAAACAGAGAAAATAGGTCTGGAAATACGCAGTGGAAGCATTTATATATAAAGGTATTTCCGACCACCATTAATTGTCGTCGGAAAAAATATATTTAAAATTCAAACCGCCGACAGTTTCCGACCACTGTTACCATGTGGTCGGAACTTCCGACCACCTACTAATAATGGTCGGAAATTCCGACCCCGTTCCGACCCCCTTACCCATTCGCCGGAAAATTGCAAAAAAATGATTTTTCCGACCACTTTTTGTGGTGGTCGGAAAAGTGGTCGGAAATACGATGATTTCCAGCAGTGAAACTACAGTGTATATAAAATGAAATTAAATAACAGTTTCCACAATAGAACTATAGTTGAGTAGAAATAATACTTTAGTTTTGCTGAAATAGAACTACATTATGTATAAAAAGAAACCGAAGAATTAACATGTCTCACATATTAGCTTTACTCTGGTGTATTTGTAGATTCCCGTTGGTGCCAAGTTCAGGTGCGGCAGCGCCTTCCCATGCGGTCAATGCGGCCGCACCAATAGTTATACAAATATACACCATCATATCTATTCAGGAAATGCACAGCAAAAAACATGCACAAATTAGGTACGTATCACAAAAAACGCACCATTAGGTATGAATAAAAACACCACACAGTGTTCAGAAATACACCATTAGGAGTGAAGATCAGAGTTATATGGTGTATTTTTTTTGGGTGTATTGTGTATTTTTTTGATGTATTTGTGCATTTCATTGTTGTGTTTTTTTTCTAACACTATTTGTGCCTTTTGTTAACACTGTTGGTGTGTTTTGTCAAGCGGCCGCTATAAATGACCACTATAATTACCATAACACCTCCCCCCCCCCCCCCCCAAACTTAATAAACACGATTTGGACTTTCCAAAATTCAGAAGCTACAGCCACGGTTAGATTAAGCTAATTGGACGACAAGGATAATGCCGCACCACCGCACCTAACAGCATGACCGCATATGAGCATTAATATATATATATATATATATATATATATATATATATATATATATATATATATATATATATATGCATGCTTTGTTACCCTTAAAAATATCACCCCCTCCCCCGAGAACAACTATGCCTGATAAAAAAAAATAATAGTTCAATATTTATAAAATATTTCATAATTTATAATTGTACAATTGTAGAAATATAGACAAAAATTATAATTTCATAATGTCCTAAATCATTCCTAATAATGCAAAAGTATAATGAAATATTGATAAAAATTCATGTTAAATTTTTGAAAGATTGGTTTTATATACAAGAGGGGTTTAAACTTCTGATCTCTCTCAAAGGATAAGAGTGCACAACCACTCACGACAATGAAGCTAGTTGTGCAAATCAATAAGTTAAGAATTATAAATAGTTAACGGAATATTTCGTTACTAAAGTTTATATGACAGAGTGCATAAGTATTTAAGAAAAGTAAATGATATAATAGAGGGTAAAGTAAGAAAAAAAGACTAAAATCAAAATAATATGAACCATTCATTTCATCAAATAATTGGATGGATGGACATTTTTTAATTCCCGTTATAGGCCTAACTTTATTGCTCTTATTAGTAGAGTATATATCAAATTACTTATTTAAGTAATTTGATTCTATTCAAATTCGGTTAT